AGTTCCACCTCATGTTCACCATCGGCCACCAGCACGTACGATGGCGGTTCAACAGTACGTCCCATGTTAACATCTTAACGTGTTTGTTTTTGTTCCAACAGTTTTCCAGAATGAACTAGGATGTGGAATGAGCACTTAGCAAAGATTTCCTCATTGTGACAAGTTCACATTCACAATAAAGCTTAGGTATTTTTTTGTCATTTTTTTTATCTTTTAGCCACTTTTCATGTTTATTTTTTCCCCTTCACACCTGCAGCTCAGGCGGCGCCTCTGTAAAACGGCGTCCGCCTTGAGAGCGTGAGCCATATGGAAACAGCTTGCAGAGGGCAGTGATTCAAACAAACGCGTCACCCCTGCGGAAAGCTCAGCGCAATCATTAGCTCCGCAAACTGCCCATCCAATCACAAAGCCCCTCCTTTAACGAACATCCCCCGAATTTTTTACATGTTTTGTTTTGTCAACAATTTCTTACTGGCCAGCGTTCACAACACAGAGCTCCACAAAGGAGAGAGAGAGATAGAGCGAGAGAGAGAGAGAAACAGAGAAACCTCCCCCTATCGGAATGCCCCATAAAAGAGGACCACCACCCAGGAAAAAGAAGCGTGCAAGCCTCGGAAGAGGGAGGCAGTCAGGGGAGTTTGCCTTGTAAAGCCAGGCAGAGAGACAGAGGGAAAGTCCAGCTGAGAGAGGTGAGACAGCGCAGCGCCACAACGTGGCTGGAGAGAGACGCTTTACTTGACATCCTCTGCACGGGGTATTTGGGGTCGTGACGCGACAACCACTGTATCAGGAAGTTGCCATGCTTGTTGAAGTCGGAAGCGCTCCCTGTCGCATGTGGAAGAGGGATTGGGAAGGAGAAAGCCCAGGAGACAAGAGAATGCGAGAGAAAGAAAGAAAAATCATCTATATTAGTGTGTTAATTCGTGTTAAGAATTAGTCTGTTATTTCTGCAAAAACTAGTAGGCTACAGATAATTCAACTTTCATTAATAACATTAATAAGCATGCTAGACAGATCATTAGCATGTGTACATTCAAATAATCCCAATTCACCATACTTCATATATGAATACTTGGCTTCATATATTTTGGTCTTCATCAACATGAAGATATCACGACTTCTGATTAGCGCTTGGAAGATGACATATAAAGATGGCATAGAAAGCTAGCATTGCATATTATTGTTTATTGTTTATTATTTATTAATCTAGTTAATGTTAGAAAGTTCTAGTTCATTGTTGGGGTCAGGGTGAGGGTGTTTTTTTTTAAAGAATTTAACACCTTTATTCAGCAGAATGCATTAAATTGATCAAAACTGGCAGTTAAGACACTTATGATGCTACAAAAAATAGCCTACTGAATAAATATTAAGCAGCACAACTGTTGTCAACAACCCTCATCAAACAAGAAATGTTTCATGAGCACCAAATCAGCATATTGGAATGATTTCTGAAGAATCATGTGACACTGAAGACTGAAGTAATGGCTGCTGAAAATTCAGGACTGCATCACATGAATAAATTACATTTAAATTTCAATATATTCAAATAGAAAATTGATTTTAAATTGTAATAAAACAGCATTACTATTTTTATTGTACTTTTGATCAATTAAATGCAGCTTGGGTGAGCTTCTTTCAAAAACATTTAAAAATCTTATATCTAATACATGATGTAAAATATTGTTCAATCATGTTAGATAATGTACACATCCTTATTTTAAAGTGTAACCAGTTATATACACCCTCATCTTAGAGAGATCCATTATGCATTACTTTTAACCCTTTCCCACCAACCATCTGACTCCATTTTTGGTATGTTACGGCCACTTTTAACAATCCAACCAATTCTCAATGGCTCTCAAGTCCTGCCCTATATTTTTTCTACTCTAATATCTTGCTACAACCAGAAATATATCAATTAAAAATAGGCTGCAAACAGCACTTCATGTTGACTTAAATTTTGAATGTACTGATCTGTTAGACATTTCGGGTTGTTATTTCCGACTTAAAGAAAGATTCTGAAAATGGAAGCACATAATCAAATACGCACTTGGGCAGGGATCCATTCTGCAGGGTCTCAATGCAGCAGGTTTGGAGTCCAGACAGAGTCCAATGGTGTTGTCACGAGTATGACAAAGCACCTGCCTCTCCTGCGTACCATTACCACATGTCACTGAGCACTACAACAGCACACACACACAAACAAATATTCATTATTTTCATGTTAAAGAAATCCCACGCTCAGACCTGTACTGTCAGAGGTCTGTACCTGTGACCAGGGGCCCAGCCTCCACTCAGCAGGGCACAAGTTGCGATTGCAGTCTCTGCGGGACTCTGGGCGCTCATCACTGCAGTAACGGCTGCGAATGGATTTGAACTTGCCGTCGCCCAGAGGTTGGACACAGCGTACGGAACGTGTCTGAGTTCCCGTCTTCCCACAAGACTTACTGCATTCGCCCCACTCTCCAGCCACCCAGCTAAACACATAGAAACAACCACAGTCAAAGTTTAAACAGGTGCCAAAGCGGCATGTGTGATGCAAGGTACAACAGCATCACAGGGACTACTGGAGACAGACTATAGTTGCGGAAAGTCAGGCCACATAAATGTAGTGCTAGGGAATTTTTTTGCGTCACAAGTTTTTATGTATTAATGTGTTTTAAATCTATAAACTACATTTTTTAACTACATATATTTTTTTTTTTATAAGTTAACAAAAGACATTATTAAATGTCATTGTAATGTTTAAGATTGTAATGTTTTAATAAAAAAGTAAAAATAAACAATCACTCGGTGTGTCTTGCCCCCAAAACTGTAAATGTGAATTAAAAATAATAATAATTTCCTTCTAACTCATTTGGCACACACACACTCACATGGGCTGAGCACACTCTCTCAAGTAACAGTCTCTAAACAGGGGCGGAGGCTGCTTGATTTTCTCACAGAATCTGCGATGGACCATCCTCATCTCTGCATTCTTACGGCAGCCATAACGCGTCATCTGAATACCTATCCATAAGAAGGTAGTGAATGAAATCCTCATGATCATGAATAGAGAAATACAAATAAATACAATAATCGAGAATAACGTTGTCAGAGCTCAATCAAGTTCAATCAAGCACTTCCACTTCTTTAGTCCTTAAGTAATGCCCACTTTGTGTTTTATAGACTCTTTACTAAGTATTACCCCCAATTTGAGTCACTTTTAAGAGCTTGATAATATGGTGGACAGCAACAGTTGCTGAGGCAAGATTGTTTTAAGGCAGGACTTAGAAAATGATCAGTCATGGTAGAAACTTGGCTGTCTCTTAAACTACTCTCAAATAAATGATTGTGGTTACAGTGAACTACCTCCTCCACAGGTCTTGGAACAGGGTGTCCATCTTTTCACCACCCAGGAATATGGCACCGCATTATCAGGAACCATGTTATTCTCATTGGTACCATCACACAGTCTGTCATTGTCAGTGATGTATTTGATTGACACCTTCACCTTGGCTGATCCATGCATTCGGATCTAGTAAACAATTATACAATTAAAGACAACCAATTAAGACAAGTTGTGTATCCACTAATGTGTGTGTGCGTGGATTCCTACAGGAGATTACCATGACAACCATGTCGCTTTTCAAGGGTCCGCTGGTTTGAATGGTGTCCTTGTTGTTTTTATTTTCATACTCCCATTCCAGACCTTTTTCAATAACTGAACGTGTCTCTGGGTAGTCTCCATGGGCGTTGAGAAAGAAATCACCTGACGCTTTATTCCTGACAGCTATTTGGCAAAAAAAAAAAAAAAACGGAGAGAGAGAGAGCAAACCCACACAAATCAAATCGAGACCAACAGAGTACATTTCTCCAGAGAGTAAAATGTAAAAAAAAAAACATTATGTAAAAATGATTATCTCATCAGATCTAATGTATCCAACCCCATTTTGTGAACCACAAACATTCTTTTCTGGAGTATTCTGCAGTTCAGTCGTAATTGACATGACAGTAAAAAAAGAAAAGGCCCAAAAAGGCTCTTTATATGAGAATTACTTTGGATGTGCCTGTGTTGATCGTAAGACTAAGGCAGATATCCACAGTGCTAATAACTCTGGAGAGATGTTATGTTCTAAGTGATGTCATGAATAGTGTAGAAGTACATGTGGAAAAAAGAGGGGGGTTTGAATTAAATCATATTTTAATGTGTACCCACTCTGTAAGTGAAAACAGCTGTGCGAAGAGATGGATTACATCAGTCTGCTTACAGGCCTGGCTGACAAACTGAGTTAGATTGTGCAGGACAGGAGTGGGAAACAATCTAAAGTAAGCTTTAAATAAAATGTAAATAATTTAAATAATAGAATTAAAATATATATTTAAAACTCAAACTACATTATATTCATTTAAATAAACTTTACAAATAAAAATATTTAAGATCTTATTTTAAAATTATTTACATTATAAAAAAAACATTTAATCTAGACCAACTGTTTTCATGGTGACTTTTTTGCAGAGGAAAAGTTGTTTTCAACTCGGTGGTCATTAAATCTGCCGTATTACTTACGGTCGGGGTGTTCATAAGGCAGCCAGTGGTGCCAGGTATTCTGGTACTCAAACTTGTTGTCCATCATGCTACATTGCTCGGCTCTGTAGTCGTGGTACGGGTCCTCACACTCATGCGTATTACAAATCTGGAACTGATAACTTGGGCCGGAGCAAATACGTCCACCGTTAGCTGGACTGGAGGAGGTTAACGGAAGAAAAAAAATTAGCTATATATGAAAAACTTAGACAGACCAACAGATAGATAGATACACACCGTGGATTGTCACAAGCTCGTGTGCGAAACTGTAGTCCCCTTCCACAGGGGTGAGAGCAGGCACCAAACTCACTCCACATCCCCCAGCTTCCGTCCCGTTTTATGATGTCTGGAGTCAACTGCATACAGTGGCCTTTAAAACAGTGCTGAGAGAGGAAGAGAGCAACACATAAACACAGAGGAAGCACGTGAGTCTCAGGATGGATCTGTATGAAAGGCTGAGTGGTACCTTCCCATCACCGCATTTAGTGCCATCAATGGGCGGACCTTTTTTGGTCTTGCAGAAAAAGGGGTTGTCTGGGTGAGCACACCAAAGCTGCTTACAGGGGTCAAAGGGGCGATACTGAGAAACAGAGGAACAGAGAGAAGAAAAATAATTCTCAAACTCACACAATGAAAGAGAAATCTGATGACAAAACACAGCTGGCCAGGGTAGGATCAAACTGAAGGACATCTGATGGGGCAAATCTAGTAAACTGTTCATTACAAAGACAAAATAATGTTCAAACACCACTATTAAAACAGCCCTGTACATTTCTAATAACTGAAAAAAAAGTTACTTAATATAAAATATAATATTATAACAGTTGTTCAGGCATGATGAAACAGTGTGATACATTTTCATTCATGGGCAGGTTACATTTATGTAACAAAGCAATCTCATGCAGGCAAATCAAAGCAATGACGAAAAACTCTTTAAGTTATGATACAGCCTGTGACCAACAGCAAAGTTAGACAACAGAATGCTGGCCAGTGATGGGATATGGTCTCAATTAATGTCAAACGTTAAGCAAAATCTCTCGTTGTTTTCCTTCCTCTGAGAGGCGTAGTAGACAAGACCAGAATCTCTGGCTGTGGTACTAATGATGACACTACATTTAGCAAGATCCTAAACCCAACAAGCGTTTTAAACACATCAAGACACCAAGTGCAAAATAATGGCTCACAGTTTTCAGCAGTAGCCAGCTGGCTGCTACTGTTGTCTCAGTTTGAATATTGTTTGGAGTTTGCCAAGCTAAATAGCGAAAAGATTGCTAGGCCAAAAGCTAGTCGATTATTTAGCACCTGTAGAGATTTTTAGATGCTTCTGAGAACTGTACGGTTAAACTTGTTCAAGTCAGCAATCTATTCATTGATATATATTTTTCTAATGAATGTAGAAAACTCTCTGAAAAGTCACCAGACTGCAATGACCTGGTTAACTTGACATTAAAAGAATGTTTAAAAGAGGTTTGAGATCTACAGTATTGAGAGAATCTGTGGCATGCTTTCAATTACTCCAGAGAATAATTTTATCCTTCGGTTCGAAAAACAGAACAAAAACAGAGTTTACACTAGTGGCAAGGCATTCCACAGGGTTTAGAAGCAGAAATGTTCTTGCTAAAGCACTTATATCAATTCTTCCATACAAAAATGTGCTACTTAAGCTGCAAAGGTGTCTAAATCAACCGTTAAGCAGTGGGACTACTGTTCTGGGTGGATGAACCTCCAGTTGTAAATTATCCTAATGCAATTCCTATGTGTGGAATTTGCTCTTTCGTTGAGTATTCATGTGCATGTATATGTGCATTTCTGTACACACATTTTTTTTACATTTATTTTTAGAAACTGAAGTACGAGCCAAAATTATTTAAATTCTTAAGTTTGTATTGAACTCAAGCACTCCTTTTAATTCTTGTGAAAGCCAATTATTTCAGAAACAACTGTGGGTTTAGTAGCCTGCTGCATATGTGTCTGCAAAATGACAATGAGCTGAACACCAACTGATAACATGTAATGATTAACAATAAGACCATCTGAATTGAATCAAGTTCAAACGAAAGAGGCCACGTTGCGACTGAGGAGAACGCCTTACCTGGGCTCCTGATGGCCCCACCTTTTGCAGCTAAGGGAATGGTTTAACAAGACAGTGAAGTACAGTCCAAGCAGTGCTGTTCAGCTGGAATCTCATTTTGTGAGCAGAAATTATTCTTCAAATCATTTTTATCCAGTTTATCAAGGGATATCAAACATGACATCTGGTTTTGATTAACTGATCAATTGTATTCCCAAAAGTGAATTACAAACAGTATAATTATAGCCACGCATTTTCTTTCCGATAGACGAGTGAATATCATTTTGAAATTTGGTGTTCATCAAATTTTCTCTTTTTTTATTGTCAATATGGAATTTATTTTATATCAACATCTATATAAAATAAAACCAGGTGATGTGCTGTGGAGTAGTTTTAAAACCTGGGGCAGGATTCACAAAATAAAATTGTAAGATTCCTTAAAATGAATTCCATGAAGTTTGTAAGAATACTTGGTTACACTTTATTTTAAGGTGTCCTTGTTACAGTGTAATTATATACAGTATTTAAGTACTGAGTAATATTATTTAACTACATGTACTTACTATATGGTTAAGGTTAGCATTAGGGTTTGGCTTAGGGTTTCTTGCATGTAATAATGCATAATTTATTGCTATTATAATAGTAAGTACATGTAACATGCGTAACAAGGACAACAAGTGCTATCGAATACTCTTAAGTGCAACTGAAAGATTCTTAAGAAGTTTGCAAATATATTCTTAAAAACATATTTTTTTCTTAAGAAGAAAATGAGTCTTTATCTGAATACTTGACTGAAGACTCACTTCAAGGATTGCCTTCTTGCGCTTCCTTCAGATTACTCTAAAAATCACGAGTGCTTCACGTTTTTAATGCGCCATGTTTTTGAACAGTTACTTCTAAAGAGAATGTATCAAGCTGCAGCAATCCGTTTCATTAATTTTTGTGCTGTTTTTGCGTTCTCTTCTGAGTGAACGCTTCCAATATGTTTGGCCGCTCTGCTACATTAAACGCGTCCTGTATATGGGTTTTCTACTCGTTCTACTCATTTCTACTCATTTTTGTAGAATTGTTTACATTATCAGTCATCACTGATCACTTCAGAAAACTTGTGCACACCCTTATTATTAGCGCTACTATGTACTGTATAATATGTAGCTAGCGTTGTTGTGGCTAGTCTAATGTAGCTAGTCTTGTAGCTATTCTTATTACTAGTCCTACTATGTAAATTATGTAGCTAGTGTTGTAATGCCTAAATATATAAAATCATTTGAAATATACCAATAAATTCATTAAATCATTCTAACTATTTGGAATTTAAGACAAGTCTGAGGCTATCCTAACTTTAAGAAATTATTTATGATGATTTTTAAGAAAATTATTTTGAGTTCTTGAAAGGTTTGTCTTAAGAACAATTTTAAGAAATAAGATAGTGTTCTTACAAAGAATTTTTGAGAATGCTAAATATTCTTAACTTTTTTCTTAAGTTAAAAAATAAAATGAAAATGGCAGTTAAGAAGACATTTTTTTCTTTAGAATGTTTTATGAATCTGGCCCCTTGTTCATCTCTTGTTCACTAAAAGATTTGTTCACCCAAAAATGAAAATGGTTTCATTATTCACTCACCCTCATGTTAGCCCGCCCCGTATGACTTTTATTTCTGTGGAACACACAGAATGTTTTAATTGCTTTTAAACTTGCAAAATTATGAAAAAAATATTTGAAAAGATCTGACTCAAAAGAAGAATTTGTTAATGAATTTATGCTGCTTCTCTGAAGAACATGCCAAAAAGAGCTAGAGCGGTGAATGGTAACTGTATAACTTACATTACTTTAGAAGACTTGGAATAAAGTGCATGAGTCATAGGGACCACTTTTATGATACTTAAATGGTGCTTTTGTCTCCTTTATAAAGCTTGAAAGCTCCTTCTTTTGTGCTCCACGGAAGAAAGAAGGTCATACGGGTTTGAACCAACATGAGCACGAGTAAAATAGTGACAGACTGAACATTTTTGGTGCACTATTCTGTTCCATTAAGCCTTTTCCCTTTGGCATGTACAGATATCAAAACTCAGTCACTTAACACAAAATACTGTGTTCCATTCATAATGCATTATTGGCATGTATAACACACATCATACTGGGTCACAGCAACCTACGGTGAACCCAATGACCACAAATGGTGATTGTTATGGCAAGCTGATGGTTGTCAAGGAAGAATGCTTGTAGAATTATACATGCTCATAGTGATTTTACAATCTCATAATAATAATGCATTACTTGAATGAAAAAGCCTGTGCAGCAGTGAATTCAAGACTCACCGCTGTGCACATCATGTATCCGGCCCCGAAGTCAAAGCGACACTGTTCGTGCATGGAGTAATGCAGCCCGGGCGGGTGTGGAAGCTCTTCCCATTTGTGCTCGAACGGGTCGTCACGGAGACAATCATACGAACTTCAGAGGCAGAATGAGATGGTAAATAATCCACAGTCGTACTAGTCAAGATTGTCTGTGTATGTCTGTCTAGCACTCACTGCAGGTAGCGGCCCAGTTCCTGTTGACTGCAGCGGGACCAGTGGAAGCGGTGGAAAGCCGCCTGCACCAGTGGAGCCATGATGCTCCCCATCTGCACCTCATCTCCACAACGATTCCCCTGCCCATCATGCTCCATTCCCAACCTATAACGCACACGCATATATACAATTTACTTTTTTGAGAACAACTTGCCCCTTATTTTGGTATTTTTAGTCTTATGTGGAATTATGAGAATTTGAGAGTTTTGAATAAATTGCTTGTGTGAATAATTCAATGATTCAATCATATAGGCTGTCACTTGTCCTGTTCGTGAATTAATTTGTTTTTGAACAAATCTATTGAGAAAATTACTCAGTCACTCATAGTGGCTGCGTCCAAAATCGCATAATCTCTAAGAAGATACTTTCTGATGCACACTTCAAAATCTTGCCAAAAGTAGTACGTCATCTGGGTACTATGTTATCAATACTGTGAATCTGAACATACTACTCTTTTCACATACTGCTCTGCACCTACAGTAGGAAGTATGCAATTTCAGATGCAGCCAGTCACTTGTTTACTCAATGAATCCATGTTGAATAAATTGGTTGCAAACAATTTAAAATGATTCACTGATTTATTTATAACAAGACAATCACTTATCGCCACCTACTGACATTTCAATGTAACATGCAGAAAGAGTACATTGTAAAATCCACACCACTAATACACTAATTAGCGACACAAACAGTGGAAAGTCAGCTGTTCGAATGATGCTCAACCAATCAGATTCAAGGAACATAACTCAAGGACCTGAACGAACTGCTGTATAAATGAAAATATATGAGGTATCTTTTGACATACTGTAGCAGATACTCACACGTGGCCGGTTTCATGCGCCACAACAAAAGCTGATGAGAAACCGTCCTCATGGTTGAGAGTGCAGCTCCGTACGGGATGACACATGCCTGTGACAGGAGCGTAACCTAGCAACACATAAGAACACCTGACTAAGTTTGTCCTCATCACATCTTCATCACATGTTATTTCTAACACTTATCTTCCACTGGTCTGAGGCCTGAAGTCAAGGTCATTTCAAGATCATTGTGGCATGTCCTTACAGATACATATTTTTTAAACTGAACGCATATGTTCATGTTTGAAATATCATCTGCTCTTGTTAGCAGCATGTTTCAATCTCTGGAGGTTGATGATTACCTGTGTTAGTGTGCATGTGTGTTGATTTTACCCTGCATCCCTGTGGGTCCAAACTCTTGACGAGTGAGAAAGATGGCGTGATCATGGTATTCTTTATCGTTAGTGTCCTTCCTCTGCTGTTCAAAAGCCCAGCGGCACACATTCTCCAGACTCTGAGAAGGATTACCCAGCTCAATGAGGCTCGTGGACTGAAAGCATACATGAGAAGGATGTTACACTCAAAGCTACATTTGGTCAAGGTGTGAATCAATTACAAAAATTCTAAATTAAGTTATGGGTTCAGTACAACTAATAATGGAATAGTTTACCATTTAACATTTTATCAATTTCTGAAAGAATCTATTATAAAAAAAAATTTATTTTGCTTTTGTTTTATGACTTCAGAAGACCTGAAATACAGCACATGGATTGAATGGATGACTTTTATGATGCTTTGGAAACTTTTTTGGAGCTTGAAATCATGTGGGGGAAAACAGCTAGAATTCCAAAGCATTTTATTAGTTTTAAGAATTTCATAAGGTGTTTGAACTGACATGAGGGTGATTTACTTTTGAAAGTACTGATGATTGTTACGGCCAGACCAATGTAAGTATGCATACTACCTTTCAAAAGTTTGGGGTCGGCAAGATTTTTTAATGTTTCTTAAAGAAATCTCTTATGCTCACTGAGGCTCCAATTACAGTAAAACTAATAATATTGTAAAACATTACAATTTAAAAAGAACTATTTTAAATTTTTTTAATATATGTTAAAATTGTATTTATATGTGTGTTGTCAAAGCTATTTTTCAGCAAACTTACTATCAATATTTCTTCTCATTATCAGTGTTGTTTAAACTGTGATTTGTTTTCTAGGATTCTCTGATTAATAGAAAGGTTTAAAGAACAGCATTTATTTTAAGTAGAAATCTTTCGTAACATCATTAGTTGTAACAGTGTCACTTTTGATCAATTTAACGTGAATAAAACCATTCATTTATTTAAAATACTGACTTCAAACTTTTGAATGGCAGTGTATAACCACAAGACTTAAAAGTACACAAGTTAAAATGAGAGGTAAATTGCAGTACTGTATACTAACATTGTCTTTTTAGTTATATCAAACATCTTGACCATTTAATGCTAGTAAAGCTGGTAAATTTAATATGATGTACCCTTAGACATCCATTATTAGTACATTACTGAACAATTGTTGTTTGTTTTAATACTGAGGGATGACTCGAAACTTTTTTCTGTAGTCAAATCACAGATGTTGAACCTAGACCATTCCTTTAATCAGAGGACAGACTCCTAAACAATTACATCAACACAAACTTCAAAAGCTCGGCACTATTGTTAATCAATCAGCTAGTATCATCTAGTATCATTAACGTCCTTTGATGTTAAAAGTACTGAACAATCCAATCAAAATAAGTTGTATAGTGAAACTATATGTTTATATAATAACAACAAAAGAAAAAAAAGTTTACATTGTTAACAATGGCAGCCGTGACGCTGTTATTATTGCTACATTTCACGCTCGTGTGAACACAGACGTAAACATTGCACCGCTTTTCTTCCATAACCTGTGCAGTGAGGTAAATGTGTGCAAAGAAACAACCAGACAGGAACGCGTGGCTGTGCTTTGATGACGTGGCCACGAGAGCCATGGAAGTAGGAGATCCTTTCCAGATGCGTGTCCTGAAACTGCCTCTCTTTCCCTGTGCCTCACTCTTGTGCATTTTATGCATCAAGGTCATGAACTCTGAGAACTACGCTGCAATGTCTTCACCAACCAGTAGAGGGAGGCTTCACCATTCCAAAGCATAGTTGTGCACCATGGGAAGAAAGAGGGTGGTGGGAAATAACTCAACTCAGCATCACTCTCAGAACAAGTGCATCTAGCGCTTTATTCTCTCATTACACTTCATTTATTTGTGACTGAGGATTTTTACGCCGTAGGTTTGTGCACAGACAGCAGACTAATGTAAACTAGTTACTAAACACATGATTTATCTTCACTTATCTTCATTCCATCACTGAGATGTTTGTTGATAATGTCACAAAGGGTGTTTTCTCAGAATTCTGTACACAAGAGACTTCCTCTTGTTCTTGTTAACGGAATACATGACAGACGTGAAAGCGTGCTCATTAAAAGAACGTCTCGGCATCTTTATCTTCTCTGTGATTCACCGAAGATGCACACATGCACACACGCTCTGTGGATTGATGCTGGGTGTGTCATGTCAGGGTCTCTATCTTTTCGGTGTTAGGTGAGGGGAAGAGCGGAACAGATGTGCGGAAGAGACTGTGATGTTGGAACCTTGTTGGAGGTGTGCGGGGTCACTCGGTTGATCGGTGCGTGCCGCTGCCGGCAGCAACGGTTGCCACAGTAATTGGGAATGATGGACAACCTGCTGGCAAGACGGGCGAGGCTGCATGCTGATTGGGGCTGAGGCGGCAGGGGAGAGGAGTGGGTGTGGAACAACCAGGCATTTGTGTAAGAGCGAGAAAAAGAGAGAGGGAGAGGTGGAGAGAAAAAGATACAGATGGAGAAAGATGTATATCTGTGGCAGCGCTTTTGAAATAGGTGGGTGATCTAGAGTGATCTAGAGTGAGTGTGAATAAGAAAAAAACATGGAAAGGGTTTCACACTGAATGAGGGGTGAGGTTGAGATAAGGGTTAACAAAATTGTGATGAATTTACTAAAATGGAACAACTGCATCAATATGCCTCTATATAATCGGAAGTATCTCTAAGTACTACATGCGGATGATGGTTTTAACATCCCAGGACATTTCCCACCTTAACCATAAAACGTTTGAGTTATGGAAGCCATGAATCGAGTTATGTGTGTGTGTGTGTTTTGTTTTAATGAAATAATGCGTTTGTATGAACTAGCTTTATTAGCTATTAGTACATTTACATTTAAAGCACTGTGGGTATTTAGTAATTGCTGACCTGATAATCCTGTAAGAATGTGTTTATTATAAAAATTATGCATATTCAGTCAGACACATTCTGGAATTCTACTTGTATAAACGGAGGACAAACATCCTAGGATTGTGTGCTCATTATTTTGTTTTAAAACAAATTTCTGAATAATTTTAAAAAATAGAGTATGGTACATTGCATAAAAAAGCTGGGTGGAAAGACCAGTGTGCCAATATGAAGGTAGATAATTTATTATTGAGTAAGACAAACTATAATGGCAAATTAAAAGGACATGTGACTTTGCCTCAAGTCATGTGACTGAATAACTCACTCGCAGAAGAAAACATGTTTGCGTCAACCCCCTGGCAGTGACAGTTTTGTTCTCTTGAACACAAAGAATGGAAATGCTGGTGTATTCATGAATGTTTTTGAAATATTCTGATTTTTAATTAAATATTTAACTTGGATGGAAACCAGGGTTATAATAGTTAACTAAAACAATTTTTTTAAAATATCTTTGTTAATTTGAATAAAGCTGAAATAAAATAAAATATAAATATTAGATGAAAACAGATAATAGGGATGCATTCAATAGCTTTTATTTTGTGTCTAGAGTATGTCGTCTATGCCAGACTCTACCACTGTGAAGTTGCCAGCCTGCCATATGATTTCAGCATGGTTTTTGCCGTTTAAAATCATTGTATATTTACTTTTTATCTAAATATGGTTTCGACAGCCAGCCCACAGGTCAACCGAGCCACTAGGAATGTCCCGGTGCTCCCTATGGCCACTGCATCCCTGAATGGAGTTAAACAACATTTTAAGCCACAGCGAGAGGCAGACGAAGCGTGACCAGCAACAGACGGAAGGAAAAAGACAGAATGGAAAGGAAACCAAAAGTTGTACGAGCACAGGGACAGAGATGAAGAGAGAACTGACAGATAAACAGAGAGGGAGAGACCTGTGTGCCAACCGCCTGATGAGTTCATGTGGGACAGTTTGCATTTTAAGAACTTAATCCTGGAAAGACGAGGCCAGAGGGACAATCACCACAAATCAGCGCAGGAAACGCCATCTGCCTGACCCGCCGTGGACCTCTGTCTCTCCATCTCACCTGAAACCGCACGTAATCACCATGTAACCCCACACACTAGCTGTCACAGAGGAAAAATCACCATTTATCATAATGGCTGGGGGTGGTATAATGTCTCAGTAAGAAGAGCCAAATTTGAGGGCACCATAGCGTTGTGAGCTATTTCTCCCGCTGGGTGAACTGACATTTGTGGTAATGGTAAGCTCCATCGCAGAGATAGAAAGGTGATGGATTGTCATGTTTAAGTGGCTTAAAAATATCTTCCTCATGGGTTACGCATCCAGATAGCACTCCTGGAGAAAAGATCCTTTCTTCCTGAACCTGATTGAATAAATGGAGTAGGTGTTAACTTCACTATTGATTAATAGGTTTTTTTCTAGACATCATATTATTCAGATGATCCCAGAGGAAAATTGCTCTTTCAAAGCTCACTTTAGTTTGTCTCTAGATTTTCTCATTTAAAGGTGAAGTGTGTAATTTCTGAGCCACTAGTGGCACTAAATCAGGCCACCGGTTGAATAAATGTTGCTGTGTCAGGTAGCTCAAACAAACAATGTTGAAAGATCTGATTAATTGAAAGGCTTAAAGAGTTAGTTCACCCAAAAAAGAAAATTAGCCCATGTTTTACTTACGCTCAAGGTTATCCTAGGTGTATATGACTTTCTTCTTTCAGATGAATCCAATCAGTTATATTAAAAATTGTCCTTGCTCTTCCAAGCTTTATAATGGCAGTGGGTGGGTGTTGTTTTTTAAACAGTCCAAAAGAAGTCCAATGACGTGCATCCATCCATAATAAAAACGTGCCTCACACGGCTCCAGGGGGTGAATAAAGGCCTCCTGTAGCATATCGATGAGTTTTGTAAGAAAAATATCCATATTTAAAACATTATAATCACTTTTCTCTCACTTCCTCTAACTGTTGTACGTGCAAGCCATTCCGGGCAGATGACGTAGGACGTATGCATTGCGCACCCGCCTGTGAGATATGCTAGTCTCGTGAGTTTGTTTACAGGAGCAAAGGAAGCAAAGTTTCCTTACTTTAGCAAAGTAATCGAAATCCTCTGACATTTTTCTTTATAAATCCTTGTTTTATGCTTCTAATTCATGACCAGCGTTTTGTTTAACTCTCTCTCCAACGAGCTTCCGTGTTCGTCACTAATCACCGGCGCGTGCGCTACGCCTACATCCTACGACATCCGGAACGGTTAGAAAGAAAAGTGTAAATAGAGCCGTGTGAGGCACGTTTTATTATGGATGGATGCTCTTTATTTGTCTTCTTTTGGACTGTTGAAAAAACACTCGCCCACTGCCATTATAGAGCTTGGAAGAGCAATGACAATTTTTAATGTAACTCAAGATTGGATTCGTCTGAAAGAAGAAAGTCATATACACATAGGATGCCATAGGAAAAATGACTCAATGACCCACTGAAATTATTGATTGAATTGCTTACAAATTGCCTCACGTGATTCATGTGAATGATTTAATAATTCAGTCATAAGTAGAGTCTTAACAAATCGGTTAAGGAAATAATTCACTGACTTGACAGTCACTTCTTGAATGAATCTGTGTTGTGAACTAATAGTTTGAATGAATCTTTCAATGACTCACTCACTCACTCACTCATTGTTTCAGTGATTAACAATAAGGATTAAATTATTAATAGGAATGAATCAATGATTCACTTATAAAAAGAATCAATTAATTAATACTATCCTCATTTCTGTCTATGTTAGATATTAAAGGTGGGGTAAGTGATTTCTGGTAGCCAATGTTGATATTTCAAATCACCAAAACAAACATGCCCCTACCCCAAAAGGGTCTCGCCCCTATTTTGATAGCTCCCGCCCCACACATACGTACACAACCCAGGCAACGATTAGTTCTGTGAAATAAAGCAAAACCAATGTTACACCGTGTCTACACTGGACGCGAGCGGCGCGGCACGACAAAATACTATAGAACTCATTATAATCGGTGATGCTGTCTACACTGGATGCGGCGCGGCACAACACGACAAATCCCCAACAGAAAACTGCTGCTGTGTTCTATTTATGACGTGTTGACACAAATTTCAAATGATTTTCAACGGTCCCTTTTGTTGCGTCCGGTGTAGACAGACTTTAGCTGTTGCGGCGGAACACGTCCGATGTAGACACGGTGTTACTCACCTATTGAGAAGAAACAAAGCAACCTCGGCGTCCGATCACAGGCCTTCCGCTCCTTGAGTTCTCTCCAGCGCTGGAAAGCTGATCCGATATTTACACGGGTCCTACTTCTTGTCTTATCGTAAGCCTTCTATTGTTCCGCAGACGTTTTTCTCTTTTGTTTTTTATCTGCCATCTAATGTTATATCTTTTTGTCATCGGCTCGTCGCTCGGCTCGGCTAATGCCCATTGCACTGAGTGCTCTCTCCTCCGCATCATGACACACCCCTTACTGCTGATTGGCTACAAGTTTGTTTTGGTACTCGGCCTGCGTTTTTGAAAAAATACATACCCCACCTTTAATTGATGGACTGTAGCCATATGGGTTACTTGTGGATTATTGTGATGTTCTTATCAGCTGTTTGGACTCATTCTGACGGCACCCATTCACTGCAGAGGATCCATTGGTGAGCAAGTGACGTAATGCTAAATGTCTCTAGTTTCTCATTACTAGCAGATACATCATGAGATGTTTAAAATATTCTTCTTTCCTACTGATTATGTGAAGCATTAATAATATGTGAGTTATGAAATTCTTCATAAATGATCTGATAATCTGTGCAATTCTGAGCAAACCAACCTTTTGTAAATGACTGTTTACTTGTACATGACTGCTCTTGGGAAAATTAATGTACGGTTAAAATAGAACTCTAAATAGAAATAGAACTTCTTTCTTGAATATCCTTGAATATAATATAATTCTCCTTTCAGTCGCAGACAAGAATGCATTTTTCTTTGAAGCCAAAATAACCACATATCACTTTGAAAAAACTGATTATAGATTCCTAAGTACATAATATTCCTCATCTTGCACAACCTGACAGTGTAGCAAGATTTAATTTGACTTGCTTACCAGATTCAGTATATTCCCACAGGCCTTGAAATCCACAGAGGCAGCAAATTTCAAATGATTTTCAACGGTCCCTTTTGTTGCGTCCGGTGTAGACAGACTTTAGCTGTTGCGGCGGAACACGTCCGATGTAGACACGGTGTTACTCACCTATTGAGAAGAAACAAAGCAACCTCGGCGTCTGATAGCAGGCCTTCCGCTCCTTGAGTTCTCTCCAGCGCTGGAAAGCTGATCCGATATTTACACGGGTCCTACTTCTTGTCTTATCGTAAGCCTTCTATTGTTCCGCAGACGTTTTTCTCTTTTGTTTTTTATCTGCCATCTAATGTTATATCTTTTTGTCATCGGCTCGTCGCTCGGCTCGGCTAATGCCCATTGCACTGAGTGCTCTCTCCTCCGCATCATGACACACCCCTTACTGCTGATTGGCTACAAGTTTGTTTTGGTACTAGGCCCGACTCAGTTTTCTTAAGCGTTTTTGAAAAAATACATATCCCACCTTTAAAGAGATATGGGACTTTCTTCGTGAGTAACTGTGTCAGATGAAAGCTGAACCTAGAACTGTGGTCACTGTCAGGTCAACCACATCTGAGGCTGGATACCTGATCTGAGATCAGCCTCTCCCTGATCTCCAGTTACAGGAAGAACAGCGTTTTGTGGAGCTGTGTTAATGAATGAGGCAGGGTCATCATTGATTGTTTATCTTGCATTCGTGATTCTTCTTCCCAGAATCCTTTGCTTGGTCCCATAGGGGAGGTGCTGGTGTGTGCGTTTATGTGTTGGGGTGGGGGGTATTGGGAAGGCAATTGCATAACATCAGCACTCTGTGTGCTTTGGTGTTGAACTGTGAAGGCGTGCGACTTTGAAAAGACTCCCATGGGAATTCTATGCTTTTAGTTCCTGTTTGCTCAGTCCGGTGGAATAACAGGCCCTAGGCCATGGTGAGCACCCAGCAAAAGCGGGTGGGGAAAAAATGTGCATGTAAGCTAAGCTAGCGGTGTGTTTATGTGTTTATGTAGGTGTGAGTGTGAGACAGAGGGTGGAAGAGAGGGAGGAACGGAGTGTGTATCTTATACATGTTTGCCACTGATGCGTTATGTCAAACTGTCATGATACAGAACTGCAAAAGTGCTAAACGGTTACAGACGAAATGGATCATTTGGGGGTTTGCATTAAGAGAAAAACATATTTTTTAGGTTACATCAGTGCTCACTCACTGTGAAAACTAAAGTCTGAACATGAAGTCTTAGATGAAACCTCAACTACGAAGATTTCTACGATAATTTCTGCGCTACTAGCAGCACCAAACACGTTTTCCAATCACACCATCCATCTTCCATTGAACAAAAAATGAAGACAAATAAAAAACAGATAGCCCAATCCTTAACTCAAAACACTGGTTAAGCCACACTGTAATGTGTGGGACTCCTCAAAAATGTTGAAACTGTCCCAAATGTTTACAACTTTTTTGGAAGCTAGCCTACAAATCGTTTACAAATATTTGTCTGTGACGTATTTAACAAAAAAAATGACAGTTCACATTTGATATGACTATAAACCATTATAAACTATACAACATGAAATACCCAAGCTCACCAACATAACTAGATATATGACTTGATTAAATTCATCATGCAAGGTTGTTTGCCACAAATAAGGTTATTTCTGAGCAATATAAGATATTTAAGAAAAAAATTAATGACAGGGTTTTGTGACGTCAGTCGAAAAAGTAAAGTTGTTTCATAGGCTGAGCAAATTGCACAAAAGATGCAATGATGAATTATAACATAATGATCATACAGAAATGTGTAATAAAAACATAAAAAACAAATATGGCTAATTTTGAATTCATGCTGTCTTTAACTTGTCATCTGATATCTGATGCATGATGTCAGTAGATTAATGCTTCTTACTTTTCTGGCATCGACCAAAACAATCCGAACTAGCACCACGTTTATTCGTGCCCCGAGAGAATGGTCATGATAAATCTCGTTCACCTGTGAAAAGAGAAAAGCAGTGTTAGATGCAACACTAAGATCTTAATATTGACACAGGCAGATATTGTAAGAGCAAAAAGCCTCATTTTAGAATACATTCCATTAAAGTAAATGTAATGCTATTTGACAGAGGTCAAAAGTGCTCTGAGTGAGAATTATGACTAAGTGATACCAAGACTTCGCACTGGGGACGTCTTCTACAGATTCAATGTTCCAGACTGCCTTTTAGACATGTTTCAGCATTATGTTTTGTAAAGTCAAAATGTATCAAAGACTTCTGCTTTCCTGTCCCAAACCTATCTTCAGTAACAAAAGGGCCATTTGGCATTCCGGAAGGCACAGAAGTGCTGATATCGATCAAGGCCTGTAGGCCAACATGTGTATACATCGGGGGTCTGCTAATTGTCACACCTTTTGCCCAGTGGGTGAAGTTGTAATCTGCTGATTGGTCAGTTTGAATGTCTCACATTTGGTTTTTAGTCACATGGTCAAAGAAGGGATAAAAGAGGACTGTAACTGTTGCTCTGGCTCCTTTCCTTTGCTACCTCTTTTGCTTTGCTCTTTTCTTTGTTGCCTCTTTTCTTTGTTGGAGCTCTTCTTGGGTCTCTGCCCTCTCTCCCTCTTTTTCTTCCTCTCTCTATTCCCCCCTCTCTCTATCTCTTTCTCTCAGGTAATATTTTACATGTTGGGTACAATTAACTATGCTTTACCATCCTTCATCTATTTTGTAACCAATTAAAGTGTAACCATAACAAAATATTGTTATTAAACCATTTCAATTATTAATTATGTGCTAACTAGTCTTGATTCAAGGTTCATCTTAAAGTGCTACCTATTGCAATACAATAGTCACACAATAGCAACGCTCTCCCACATATGTAGCTATTCTAACTACGCTTATTCCCGTCGTTGGTATTAAAGCTCTAAAAAGCTTACTGACTGATGTGGTTAGTGCAAATTCTTAGCACATGGTTAGTGCAAATTGTCAGATGACCAGAGCAGTTTATTTCCTGTTTGCATCTTGAGAAGATGATGGCTACATCAAAGCTCCAAAACTAAAGGAGATAACGAAAGGAGAAGATATTAGGTAGACATTTTCTTTGAGGTGTCTAGTATTAATATATGCAATGACATATATTTAGTTTTGTTGAGTGTGGTCATAGAATGAGTAAACATCTTGATGGTCACAATAGTGACCGGTGGGATAACAGTGAACTTAGGTATACAATATAAATCCAATTGCAGCTGTCAGTTGTTAATTGCACTAAAATGTTGCAATGACAAAATAATGCACTAAATTAAAAATTCTAATGTAAGAAATAAGTTACAATATTGATGTTGTAATACTGGTAGCACTAATATAACAATTGTATGATGTACTGTATGTTACAAAAAAGTTTTAAAAAATTATCTCAGTATTCCTATCAATGTTGTATAAGGACTTTTTTATGCATAACAGTAACCCTAGAATGTGATCAAACAGTTTAAAATAGCTGGGCTGAGATATATAATATTTTTATGACTGCAGAAATATGTTAATTCAGTACACTCATTATTCCACCGGTCACAATTGTGACTGACCATAAAACACAATTTTTCATACACTTTTCCAAAAAAAAAAATATTATTTATTATTTCATTTTGACACATCATTTGGATATTTTCATGTCTGGGAAAAATTCGGGAATAAATGGGATAAATTATAAATAATATATTAATTATGAATACTAACCCCAAAACCTTTTCTAATTGTATCTTCAAATGTTTCGGGTCAGTAAAAATTGTTATTAATTAATTTTTTCCCTGTGAAGCAAATCAGCATATTAATATGATTTCTGAAGGATCATGTGGCACTGAAGACTGAAGTAATGACTGGTAAAAATTCAGCTTTTTCGCAGGAATAAATTACTATATAGCTTACTATGAAGCTGTTGTACTTATGCTATCATTTACTAAAGTTGCAATATAATGTTTCAGCTTTTCAGTTGAACTCTCAGCTAGACCATCTTAAGCCAGCTAAGACCAGCAAACCATCTAAGGCTAGGTTATTTTTAGTAGGGTTTTACCACATTTTTGGGGCCATTCCGCAGAGACAGCAAAGCATAACACACACACATAGCAACACATAGACAACCTGCAAAGCTGCACCCAATAATGTTTAAGAGAGCCTTTTTCATTTCCCATGATTCTGCAGTTTGACTTCTCACCCCACACCTCAGCCATCTTTACTTATTCAGCTTGCAGAAGGATGGGCCTCATGCACTGTGGGAAACGCTGTTCCCAGACAGAGAGGGAGACAGAGGCAGACAAATTGGTACAGAAGTTAAGACATGGTGTCCTCTGTCGCTCTCGAAGCCTGCTAATGAGACACCGAGATGTATACACAGCCAACAATAATGAGATTTCTGATGGACAGACTGCGGGAGGGGGAGCAAGAATAAGAGACGAAGACAGACAAGAAAAAAGGGCTTAAAAGGGGGCGGCAAGGAAGAAGGAAAGCGATGGGAAAGGATTATACAACGCACTTTCTGAAACCGATCTTTCTCACCTGCTCTTTTATTTTTGTACGATTCACTGGTTGCTGCGCAACCGGCAAACTTCAGAGTGGGGTGGGGCCGTGTTTCTCTCTCTTTCTGCATGTCTGTATTCCTGGCATTCCCTCTCTGCTTGCTGTCATTCCTTTTGACAGTCGGAATATTTTTTGGTTGCGCTGTCTGTTCTGCAGACTTTGTTTTTACAATTCACAACTTTACTGAATTCATCATTCCCTCCTTTTCAGTTTTAAATCAGTATATGTGTCTGTAGCTGCCAAAAGCTTATCTTTCAAACTAGTGTGTATAGACCTTTTCCGTAGCATTCGCCCAGATTTCTTAAGAAATTCTAAAGAGTGCAGCTCTTAGGCTCGGTTGCCTTAGTAACTGCGTTAATACAGATGACTGGTAAAAGCACAGATGACTTCCAGGTGACCATGACTCCAGTGTTCTGAACGTTAATGATCGTTAAACTGAGGCATGACTTTCATATGGAACACACACTGTGAAACACCTCAGGACTCTGCATTAGGAGAAGCAGTGCATGATGGGATATGACTACTGCCTTGTTTCCAGGCTTCACTTCAAAGAAAAAAAAAGACACGGCTGGCAGTAAAAGTTTATTTCTCTCATATTAATACAGTATATGCTGGGGCTGGACAGTATAGTATATATTATACTGTAAGAAGGGTAGAAATGGGTAGAAATTCTGTATGTACATTTACGAATTTCGGTAGATGTTTTGGTAACACCAAAAGACAAGGTCCAATTTTCACAATGAACTAGTTGCTTATTAGCAGGCATATTACTAACATATTGGCTGTTTATTGGTACTTATAAAGCACATATTAATGCCTTATTCTGCATATTTTAGATCCTGTAATCCTATCCCATACCTAAACTTAACGACTACCTTACTAACTATTATTAAGCAACAAATTAGGAGTTTATTGGGGCAAAAGTCGTAGTTAATAGTTAATTAATAGTGAGAATTGGTCCCTAAACTAAAGTGTGACCAATGTTTTTAATCCAAAAAAGCAATTTATAGTACATCCAAACTACAAATTTCAGCAGTACATGCATTGGCTGAACCAATGGCATTGGCATTACTGTCATGATCTATGTGTCAAGCTATACAATATTTGGGAAGCAATTTAAAAACCTCCAGCACCAAGCAGAAAATGATTTACTCTGCAAACTTGCATCTCATGTGCGAAAACAAAACAAAACCAAAATGTCACCATTAATAGTGAGAATTGGTCCCTAAACTAAAGTGTGACCAATGTTTTTAATCCAAAAAAGCAATTTATAGTACATCCAAACTACAAATTTCAGCAGTATATGCATTGGCTGAACCAATGGCATTGGCATTACTAATGTCATGATCTATGTGTCAAGCTATACAATATTTGGGAAGCAATTTAAAAACCTCCAGCACCAAGCAGAAAATGATTTACTCTGCAAACTTGCATCTCATGTGCGAAAACAAAACAAAACCAAAATGTCACTTAAACTACAACTTAAAATATTTTTCAATTATTTTTGAATTTTCAAAATTTTGAGTTTGAAATTATTATTTTTATTATTTTTGTTAAATGAAGGAAGAAAATGACAATCTGACTGACTAAAACATTACAACATGGATGTGCAATAAAATATTTCAGAGTAGTGTTTCTAGCAAAAACAATAATGTATGACAGAATTTTAGTTACACGTTAAAACATTTTTAAATGTTATGAAAATAATCTCATAATAGTTTGTTTTTATATAAAAGTCAGTTTTGTAAATCAAGATGTTTACAAGATTAAAATATTGATATTTTGAAATATTGATAATATATTAATAATTATAAGAGTAAATTACCTTGTAAAAGGTGTATTGAAAGAATATTCTCAACATTTTAGAAAATTTTAACATGATGCCACTAACATGCTGTTGTATACCGCCCACCCCTACATGCACACATTAATAGAAAAGCTTATCACAAGCAACGCTGGATGGATATTCTAATATTAATTGGAGTCACAAATCTTCAGCAACACCAATAGGGTTCTTCCTCAACCTCCTACAGAACAAAAACCCTATAGCCCCCTCCCACCCCTCACTCTCTATGTTAATGATCGTGAGAGTGTAGGTCTCATTAGTACTGCCCTGGTTGCTGGCCTTGTTCAGGAGCACTGGGTTTCATCAGCCTACAGGTAACTAATGGAGACCTAGAGGTCGGCAAGTCAGAAAATCATTAATATCCCATTAATAATGCAGCAGGGGCTAGCATTTTGGCTTCACTGCTTTAGAGGAAGGAGGGGAGAGTGGAGAAAATAGCAGAGGGTGCAGATAGGAAGATAGGGTTAGAGGAGGGAAAGAGGGAAGAGAAAAAAGTCTACAGTATGTGTGCATGTGTGGCCATTGATCGAGTGAGGAGAAAAAAAATGGGTTGACATTGAGAAATATTAGCATATTAGCACATGA